AATATTAAAATGTGTTTTTAGAAAAGCTACACAGGACTTTAAAGCCACAACTAACAAAGAGATGCATAAATGTTTTTCATGAATTAAAATGTGTTTTTAGAAAAGCTACACAGGACATTAAAGTCACAACTAAGAAAGGGATTCATAAATGTTATTTTCATATCTAGCAATCATAGTAAAAGTGAGCTGGTTTTACACACTGGCTGGTACCTTATTGATGCTCCCGATGTACCAGCTACAAAAGCTCTGTGTATTACCTGTGCTGGCTGATCCCCACCGTCATCCTGGGAACTAAACGTTATTTTTGTCCTCAATTACCAGACAAAAACCTGAGGCAGAGAATTTGTAAAATTTGCCGTATTTGCACAGCTGTAAGATGTGGAGCCAAATTCCATCTTACTCCAACTCATTTAGCTATTTTTACGTTCTGTCTCTGCTTACCAAAGTAAAGGTAAACCTCTTATTTTCTTCTAATTTTAAGAAATTAATATAACTACACAATATAATTTTCTAATCATCCATTTTAAATGGCCAGAGCAAATATTATCAGGAAGGATTAGTTTCTGCAGTTAAGCTGGCACTGAGTATGTGGTACTACACCATGACTTCAGAGCTGGGTTCTGGGTTCCCATCTGCCACTTGAGGTTTGTGGCCTTAGACAACTAACAGTCTTTCTGCAACTTAGCTTCTTCATCTAACAACTACTTCATAATAATGCTGTTATGGATTTACATGTGCTAACACAGAGAAAACACATAGCACATAGTAGTTGCTCACAAAACATCACTCCAACTAAGTATGCTCAAAGGACATAATCAACACACAGATAGGCTTACAGCTGAATGAACCATAAGGCTGATGAACCATAAACGATTCTGTTTTCTAAGCCACAAACCTTTATATACTATGAAATATTTCTGAGATCCCCTGGGCTCCTCCACAACTCTTATTTAAGCTATTTGTATTCAGAGTACTTCTACAACTGTTTCTTCTAATCCATAAAAATTCTCATAAGCCTCGGGTAGCTATGAGCAGCAGGTGAATATTATAACTAAGAGTCAGAAGATGTTGTTTCTCCCTCCTTGATCTCTGCCCCCCATCATAGACCTGAATTAGCATATCATGTTGGCACATCTGAAAGGATGAGCCCATGTTCCACAGAAACTAATATGAGCCACAAATGCAGGCCACTGTGTAAGTGGCGTGATCTTAGCTCACTGCAACCTCCACCTCCTGCATTCAAGTGATTCTCGTGCCTCAGCCTCCCAAATAGCTGGGATTACAGGCATCCAACACCATGCTTGGCTAATTTTTATATTTTTAGTAGAGACAGTGTTTCACCATGTTGGCCAGGCTGGTCTTGAACTCCTGGCCTCAAGCGATCTGCCTGCCTTGTCCTCCCAAAGTGCTGGGATTACAGGGGTGAGCCACTGTGCCCAGCCAGTAAAGATATGTTAAATACTTAAAAAAAAAAAAAAAACAGTGAAATAAAGTTGAATAATTTAATATAATATATCCAAAATAGCATTTCAACCAGTAATTAGTATAAAAGAGGTATTAATAAGCTATTGTCCATTTTCTCATATTAAGATTCTGCAATCTGGTGTTGATTTTATACTTACAGCACATCCTAACCTAGACTAGTTTCATTTCTAGTGCTCAAAGTCATATGTGGGTAATTACTATTATACAGAATGGTGGGTCTAGCTATCACCAGTGATCTATAATCCCTTTCTATATAAAATATGATACGCTGGAAAAAAGATGGCCATTAAACTTATATATCTTACAGAGAACTGAGTTTAAAAAGCTGATGTCAGTCTGGGTGTGGTGGCTCATGCCTATAATCATAGCTCTTTGGGAGGCCAAGGCAGGTGGATCACCTGAGGTCAGGAGTTTGAGACCAGCGTGGCCAACATGGTGAAACCCTGTCTCTACTAAAAATACAAAAGGTTAGCCAGATGTGGTGGCACAGTCCTGTAATTCCAGATACTCAGGAGGCTGAGGCTGGAGAAACGCTTGAACCCAGCAGGTGGAGGTTACAGTGAGCTAAGATTATGCCACTGCACTCCAGCCTGGGCAACAATGTGAGACTACATCTCAAAAACACCAAACACAAACAAAAAGAATGATTTCAGGAATGCTTTTGAAACGATAACACGTAGCTTATTTATAAATAATATATTAATGCTCCCTTTTAGTCCATGTATCAGACCTAGCTTTTCTTTAGAATGACTATGTAGAACTATTTATTCTTAATAGCACATGAATATTGTATAGAAATTTTATGACAGGCAGTAGGATCTTGATATTAATTAAAATAATGTAAAATAATCTCAAATATATCATTATAAGGTAAGAATATTATTTCATGAAACACAATCCCCTGTTCATATTTTCTTTTTGATATCTTACAATCTGTAGGAGATAAATCCCATTCCCAGGGCATTTGCTTTACTCTAATGCTTATTTGTTAAACTAATCTGGGCTAAAACTAGAATAGACTACTAGATTTCTGCAACATGTAACACCAATACAAACAAGCATTGGGTTTCTAAAGAATAAAAACTGCAAAGACATTAAAGTGTTTTCATGGCTTTTTATGTTTGTAGCTCCTGGGAGCTTAGGTTTAAAACTTTTCTCCTCCAAATTAATCTGTAAATGCATAACCTAAAGATCAACATCCATGCTAATGCTTCATTGATCCCAGTTCTATTCTCATTGTTGAAATGGATATTAAGTACAACTCTATAGATGAGACTCTGAAGCTAGAAATGAGGATGAGACCAAAACTGACAGTACTATTTGGTTTGGCCAGACGTTCTAATAGGAAAAACACAGCAGCCAGGAAAATATTTTGGAAGAAGGACAAATTTAACATCAATTTTGACTGTGGTGTTATAAGAAAGGCATGCATGACAGAAGACTTATCAGGACATCACAGCTTGGGATAAGGTAGAGGGAAGAAAACACATTTCAATTGAAAGATGGCTTCTACTTCTCTACAGTATTTTTTCAGGAATTCATAAATTCTTGTCATTCCTTCTGCCACCTGTGAGCAAATATTTTTTACAATCTCTTCTTTATACATCTGATGTCATCTTATAGAATGTTCTAGTTCACTATTCCCAGAGAGGATGGGCTATAAAAGAGACTTAGCGAAACAAGTGACCCCCATATCATCTTCCAAGAGGAGTAAAGGCATACAGATGTGAAAGTATTTTTCCAGGTGTGAGGAGAATAAACAACAGCACAGCAGACAAGCATAGTGTCTGAAGGAAATAGGAAGACACAAGGAAGAAATACACAGGAAAACTGTCAGAATTAATGGGGTCTCTGACGGTCTGGTGTCAAGAAGAGCTGAAATTCAAAAATCCCAAGGGGGAGGCACTTGGGAAGAAGTTTGCTAGCAAGAAGCGAGGCTTCAAAAACCCTGGTGGGATTCCGGGTGGGACTTAGTCAATGGGAAGGGGAACAGGAACCGTAAGTAGTGGTCATCTTCTTAGAACAGTAAATGTTAGGCTGGCTAGTTGTCTATGAGCCCCAGATGAGCCTCAGAAGGTTCTCTAGGTCACATAAAGTTGAATCAGATCCTTAAAGGGTCTACTACATAAGAGGATAATCCTAGGGGATTTAAGGATTTAGCTGTTTGGTAAACAGAACTTGAACTTCAGTTTGTTACTCTAAATAAAAGGTAAAAGTTAAATCCCTGAGTCTGAGTGATGGTCTTCAGTTTCTTAATCTTTCAAGTTGAAAGTGGGTCTTGGAAATTTGCCTATTGCCTAGTTTACAGGAGAGAGTCAGCAGGCTCCAACTAAAGGAAGAGGTCCTGGAAGCCAAGCAGGGACTGATAACTGTCCCCAGCCTCTGCTCTGTTTCAGTTTTCAGTTATCTTTAGGGGATGGCTGGTGGATTTCCATTAGAAAATGATTTATGTAAAATCCTTTCCTTTCTTCTTATCATATCCACTAATGTAGAAATAGAGTATATCATTTTTTATTATAAATGGATTATTTAAAGGACTGACATAGGAAGAAAAGAATGGCTTAAATTAGATATTCGATTACTTATACATTTTTTAACCCTATCCTCTGATCTCATGGGAATTGAAGAATTCAGACAACAGAAGATTACCTGACTCGAGAGCAAATCTTTATTCATCATACATGCCACTTTATCAAGATGCCCATTTAGGCAATATTGTAACACATTAGGGTATCATTTGAAAAAAAATGCTAAAAAATGAAGTAAGCTTATAAAGACCAGCCACCTGTTCTTTTCCGTAATGTGGTTTACATTAGGGAATCCGTTATGTTTTACACTGACTTAGGAAAATAAATGACTTCATAGGAAAGTCAAGCAGATCCGAGCCCTGTGAGGAAGTGGGGCACAAAGCAAAGGGGGAAACAGCCTTCAGTTTCTCCTCTCCATCTAAAGGCTTGGTAAATGGGTCACTTTACTGGTGAAGAGTATTCATTCATGTATAGATAATGTACATCCTCTTTTTTTTATTTCTTTAGTTAACACACTTGGTTTTTAGAGCAGTTTTAGGTTTGCTAAAAAATGAGTGGAATGAGTGGAATTCCCTTACACCCCCTCAGCCCACCTGTCCCTCACCATCTACTCCCCTCCCGCGACAGCTTCCTCTCTTATTAGCATCTTGCATTTCTGTGGTACATTTGTTATAGTCGATGAGCCAATGTTAATACATTATTATTAACTGAAACCACAGTATACATTAGGGCTCAGTTTTTATACTATTCATTCTACGGGTTTTGACAAATACAATGACATATTCATCTATCACTACTCTATCGTACAGAAGAGTTTCACTGTCCTTAAAGTCATCTGTGTTCCAATTATTCATCCCTTCCCTACTCCCTTTTATTTTTATAAATCATAATTTTCAAGAAAAATTATATACTATAGAAGAAACACTGTACTTTTTTTCTATAGATTGTTTTGAGCCTACTATCTTTTACAAAAAAACTAAAACTTACCGGTTCAACAAATTCAAACTTCTTTTTTTCTTGAACCTCTTGAATTTTAAAGACATATTCTAATGATGCTTCATAGAAGTTCTGATGTTCTCGGTCAATTTGTGTATCTGCCTAAAGAGAAAGACCGGGCAAAAAATGACACAGAGAGTGATTACTGATAGTTCTACATAGACAGGAACTCGATTCCTGCTCTGCTATCTTTACCAAAAAGCAACTCCTACAAAAAGTTTAACACAGCACTTATGACAGTCACTGCCCACAAGAGCTTATAGCGTATGGGACAAGAGACCCACACCTGTGTGTGCATGCACACACACACACATAAAGTACACAATAACCATTGCAGTAAAAAAAAAGTATTACAAAAGGCATATAAATGTAAATGAAAAATCATGGGATCATGAACAGATAAAATTCAAAATTCTGAGACAAAATGGTTAATTTGGAGTTGAATCTTAAGATGAACAATTGACTGAATTATCAAAAATATTAAAAAGGCAGGGGCTGTTTTCCTGAAAAAGTAAAGAGGCACGAAGGAGATATATTTAACTGCAGAATAAACACATGGAGAACAAGAGGGAGAAGTGAGTATAGCATCATACAGTAAAACAGCTTGGATGTTGCATAACAAATGAGGATTTTAATGGAGGGAGAAGCATCTAACAATATTAAGCCAGCAGGACCACTTCATTAGATAAGATCTTAGACAACACTAGGAGCAGAGTCAAACAAATAACCAGACAAAAATTCAATGGCTCTAACCTGATGACTCATGCTTTGTCAATGCCATGCACATTTACTAGATCTGATTTGCAGTACGGTTCTACTGAAAAAGTATGAGAGTATTATTGAGTTGATTTCATTTTCTTTCAGGCAATGCTTCTCTCTTCCCTCTTCTCTGCCTGCTATCACCTTAGATACACTCTTTAAAAGAGACTCTGGCCGGCATGGTGGCTCAAGCCTGTAATCCCAGCACTTTGGGAGGCCAAGGTGGGTGGATCACAAGGTCAAGAGATCGAGACCAACCTGGCCAACATGGTGAAACTCTGTCTCTACTAAAAATACAAAAAAGTAGCTGGGCATGGTGGGGTGTGCCTGTAATCCCAGCTACACAGGAGGCTGAGGCAGGAGAATTGCCTGAACCCAGGAGGCAGAGGTTGCGGTGAGCCAAGATTGCGCCATTGCACTCCAGCCTGGGTAACAAGAGTGAAACTCTGTCTCAAAAAAAAAAAAATAAGTGACTGTGGCTTAGCAGAGAGACATGACTTCCTTTTCTTGCCTACCTCTACCTTCCTTGCTGCCAGCTGGAAGTTACAAAAGCAGATGAAAAGAAGGAGGTCTCTGGAGTACTAAGTATCTACCAACACCAATTTGGGAGTAGAAAACTTGAAGCCATTTATAATGGACAACATTTCACGTGCCACAGGTCCTTGAAGCGGGTACTGAGCATGCTGTACCCCCTTCCACCGGGAGAGCAATCTCAGAAGGTTGCACCTGGTGTTTGTCCCATGTACCCTTTCTTTATTTCCTTGCACTGTAATAAATCATAGCCATGAATATGACTATATGTTGAGTCCTGTGAGTTCTCCTAGCAAATTACCAAAGCTGGAGGAGGTCTTGGGGACCCCAACACAGAAGTATTTAGTCATTTCTTCAGAAACTTGTTTGCCATGCACAATCTCATCCCACTCATGCCCCTCCAAAAAGGGGAATGGGAAGCAAAGAAAGGATAAAAGAGAAATGACTCTTCTGTTTGGCACTTATAGATGTTTTCATAGCCTCCAATGTGGGCAACTGAAGTTTGATAAACCAAAGCTGTTATGAAACGTCATCCAGAGCATGCAGTACTATAGTATTTAAGGAATATGACCGTTTAATTTCTTTACAGTACAAGAATATACAAAGGCATTCTTTTACTTAGAATAAATCTCTTTGGTACATAAGCTCATCATATGGTTCACTAGCAAACACTTGCTTATAAACCCACTGGCAACTGGTGCTATATACTTTGTACTGGATTAGTAGAGTAATCCCAAGATTCTTCATTCAAACTGAGATAATTTTAAAACTGAAAGGGAGCACTAGTAGTAACTATGCCAGAACAACAGGTGTAAACTGTTGTTTGCCTGGCAAAAAAGGACTTTCAAAAAACAGATTAATTTTGTAAGAAAACCATATGGTCCTGCAGATAGCTTATTGTAAAGCTATCTCAATTCAAAAGAGATGAAAAAGCATCAAGTGGTATTTGTTGACTCATTTCCAGAGGAGAAAAGACTTAAGCTAGACTTTGAAGAATGGGGAAGAGATAAAACAAGTAAGAGTTTGAGTGATGGGATAGAGTCAGGAAAAAGAAGGCTATGGTTAGGTAGGACAAAAGGTGTGTGACTAGGGTTTTCTTTGGAAGAGACAGAAAGGAGAGTCAAGGCAGAAAAAAAAGAGAATGAGTGCAGATATCATCATATAGGCAGCGCAAAAACGTGAGGAGGAGGCTGACAAGAAACAAGCAACATTCAAGATTAATATAAGGACAGCACAGAATACATTAAGAGGTGGGGCAGAGTACATATGAATATTAAAAGATCTCTTATCTGGTAATGGTGAAGGTGTCTGGTGCACCCCAGCAGGAAAGATAAGCTGAAAGATGTGGGTGTGAGCAGCAAGAAAAAGCCAAAGAAAAATGTGATACAAATTAATAATAATAGGCCAGGCGCTGTGGCTTATACCTGTAATCCTAGCAATTTGGGAGGCCGAGGTGGGCTGGATCACTTGAGATCAGGAGTTTGAGACCAGCCTGGCCAACATAGTGAAACCCTGTCTCCACTAAAAATACAAAAATTAGCCAGACATGGTGGTACACACCTGTATCCCAGCTACTCCGGAGGCTGAGGCCCAAGAATCCCCACTTGAATCCAAGAGGTGGAAGTTACAGTGAGCCAAGATCGCGCCTCTGCATTCCAGCCTGGGCAACAGAGTGAGACTCTGTCTCAAAAATAAACTAATAAAAACAGTATCAGCAAATTAAGAAAATGAGAGGTAGGAGCAAATTTGGGAAAAGACTGGTGATGTGCAAGATTTCACATTTCATTAGGAATTGATCAGTCTAAAGTCTTGGTAACCAGCCAGTGGACAGTGCAAAGACAGTCAGGCATGACAAAGTTATGCCTTGAGAGATGTTCATCCAGATGTCATAAACAATAGGAAAGTGGAAGAGGTTTCAGGGACAGAAATTGAAGGATAAGAATAGAGGTGTAACAACTATGCCTAAGGACTTTGCTTTATTTAGGAGATGTCTCAAGAGGAACCTATTGAAAGAGTAGTTAGTGATAGGTGGAAAACCAAAAACTGGATTTCTAAAGGGAATCTATTTTCTCCTTTACTTTTGTCCTTATTATAAATGTAAAAATACTCCTTGCTGTAAGCTCATTCATTATTTGTTACTATGGCAGAGAAATATGAAAATAGTAAGAATTGCAATCCCACTGTTAATATTTTGATGTGAAGCACACCCACACATACACACACCCACACACAAACTTACTTTAAAACAAACTTGGTATAATACTGTATATTCTGGTTTACAATTTGCTTTCTTCCTGCTTATTTGTATGAATATTTCTCAATGTCTTTAAATGATTCTCCAAATAAAACTTTTAACATATCATACTCCATTTTTTAGTCAAACTACATTTGTCTATTTACCTCAATCATTCTTTGTGCCATTTCTAAATTTCTGCACTTATGAATTACTCCTGGATCAATATTCAAACAATTTTTATGCTCATCTCTGATTATTTCTTTGGAGTAAATTCTTACTAAGAGAAATCATCTCACCTAGCATGTTTTAGGTTTGTTGAAATACAATGTCCAATTTACCATAAGAATGATTAAATCCTTTTACGTTCCCACCAGGAGAACAAAAGCGTGTCCAGTTTCCTATACCTTCACTAACAATAGATAGTATCTTTATCAAATTGAAAATGACACGTTGTTATTTGCATTTTTAAATACATGTGACACTGAAACTAACCATATTTATTACAGTTCATATTTCCTCATTAGTCTGCCTGTCTGCATCCTTAGCCCATTTTTTCCACTGAAGTGTTTACATTTCTCACACTGATATGCAAATGCTTCTTGTATATAAGAGATAATAACCCCATGTTATATACTGTTTAAATTCCCTAATGGTTTGACATTTAATTTGGTTTAATGCCTTTTGAAAGAGATCACTTATTTTTATGCATTCAGGTCTTTCTACATTTCCTTTATGATACCTTCCTTTTACTTTATGCTTAGAAAAGAATTATTTATTCACATAACAAGCATTACTTCTTTCCATCCACTATAAAGCCTATAATCTTAATAATTTTGCTTCTGATTGTTCAACTGTTTACTCCAAAAGTCTAATTGACGGCCTTGGGATTTTATTAGTAAAAGATGACCCTTCCATTCAGTCCTGGAAATAAATGGTTAGCCACTTATTTTTCATGAACAAAATGAATAAGATGTCAGCTGTGCAGGCAGGAAGGCACAGAAGGGCCTTTTTGAGAACAAATTAGTAAGTTTGGTGCTGACAGAGGACCCGAGCTGTTCTAGAATGGAGCAGATGACTTTAAATGCCATGTCACAGAATTAAATATTTTTATGGCAGCATCTTTCTACAACAGGTTTGATTCCTAGAGGGGAGAGGGTTAAAAGTAACCCATGCTACATTTTGCCTTGTCTACATTACGTACCCCTGAGAAGCTATGTTAATACAATTTGTTAGTTGTGTTGTGTTTGGGGATGTATCTCCTGGAAAAGAAGCGTGTGTGTACTTGTGGAGTGAGGTGGGGAGAAGGATGTTACTCAGCTATTATCTTTTCCACCCTCCACTTAAATATGGAACCAGAATAAATATTCTGTTATACCATAGCCTAAGCTACTAGCAAGTCAGGTAATAAATACTGAGCTAAGTTGTCAGGAAAAACTGAGATATATTCTCTAGAACACTTTAAAATTAGGATAATGTTACCATTTCCTTAAGATGGTTTAAACAGCGTCTTTTCAAAGGATGATCTCTCATATTTATCAGGAACCTAAAGTTCTTTAGGGCCTCTAACGATCACCCTTAATTTTCCCATAGTCAATTTGTAAAAAGGCAGCCGGCCAGAGCCCTGGGCATGGTAGATGATGATGTACTGGTAATAATGAGATGAGTGTCACTCTACGTGACTATATCCACATCCATACCATAACCCTGTTCTCTCTTAGGTTTCTTTTAGTACAATATATTAAGACATTTGGTCTTAATACGAGAATTTAAAACATTTGGTACATGTAAAATTGATTAAATTACAACAAGCAGTACCAAATACAGTAAGGTTAAATATGTCCAAGAAATTTAAAATAGAAATCTAGTTTTTCTTAATGGCAGATTGTCTTCCATCAGTTTAGCATCAAAATTTTTCCATAAGCACACAATTATATATTAAATTATACTATTTTTAATAGCATGTGTTAATAACAGAAAGCATACTGATGAAGTCATATATAAATATCTAGCAAAACAAAACTTCCCAACGTTAAACATCTTTAAATAAAGAAATTTGATACTGTCGATGAGAACATAAGCCGGAAAGTAACACTCCTATTTCTTTTTGAGGCTGTGGGAACTTTATAATACTCTAAGTTGTTAAGCATGCCTTGTGGTTGAACTGAGAGGCAGAAGAAATAAGAAAAGGAATAAAGATCGCTGAGGAGCAGGTTGAATTTGAAAAGCAGTACAGGAAAGGAGGAGGCTTTCCTAGCAGAGGGATCAGGAAAGAGGTTCTTGACTGTAACTCCTGCAAATGAAGAGGGAGGAGGAAGAGACTAAATAGACTGTAGGTTCTCCATCGTTTTCTAGACAGCAGTGGTGAGCTGCCGGTGAGCCACCCCAACAACTCCCTACTCATGGTGTTCACGTCAGTGTATACCAGGAGGCGGGGAGTGATGAGGGTGCTGCTTTCATGGCTTTTTTTGCTCTCAAGGTGACAATGGCAAGGGAGTCTGATTTTTTTTTTTTTTTTTGGACATGCTGTGTCACTGAAACTGGAACTACATTCCTTAGTAAAATAACTAATATTGATTTTATTAATTATGTTAAAACACTATCAAAGGGAAGGATAAGATATAGTTCAGACAGAGGGAAGAAATAAACCGCTTAGATGTGAGTAAAGTATTTATTCATTTGCTCTTAAAGAAAACTGATATATAATAATTGAGATTTTAAAATGTGTAGTAGCTGGACATGGTGGTTCATGCCTGTAATCCCAGCACTTTGGGAGGCTAGCAGGCAGATCACTCACTTGAGGTCAGGAGTCCAAGACTAGTCTGACCAACGGTGAAACCCCATCTAGCTACTCAGGAGGCTGAGGCATGAGAATCGCTTGAACCCGGGGGGCAGAGGTTGCAGTGAGCTGAGAGCACGCCACTGCACTCCAGCCTGGGCTACAGAGCCAAATTCCACCTCAAAAATAAAATAAAATGAAATGAAAATAAATAAAATATAAAAATAAAATAAAATGTGTAGCTGTATATCTATCTTTCTCCCAATGCTGAAGCAAAGCTTTAAAATCAGTGTCACAGATATTTTAATTTAATATGAAGGCTATAACATGAATTTAATAGGTTCTGCTCCCAAAAAATGCTCAAAAAGAAAAGGAAAAGATCTTATTTCAACCTTTCTCATTGTTGAAAGAAATACTAATCCTTCACTTGGAACAGGTATAATGTGTTTAAAGTACCGTCCATACTAAGTGCTCAATTAAGTTAGCTACTGTTACCATAATTATTTTATTAAATAGTAGCAGATTTTGAGACACTTGTACCTTCAGAAATTTCAGCTTTACATGACTTAATGCTTTTTCCATATCTCAGTTGGAAAAGCTTACCTCTTGCAAATGAGACTCCTTTTTCTTTGCAGACAAATTTAAATGCTTTTCAAGGATAGAGTAATATTTTTCACTCTCTTTGTCAAACTTCTTCTTTCCATCCTAAAGGACAGTAATAACAACAAGAAATATTTCATTCAGAGCATCCAGAAAACCCTGATTTTCACCATCCCCATCTAAGTCCCATATAATTATTTAATAAAGATATAGTGAGTCCCAAGTATGTGTAAAACCTTAATTTAGTAAAAACAGGAAGAAGGAAGTGAAACAAGCCATTTCAGTATGTCCTCTGCTCTCAAAAAAGCTTTCCATCTTGCGGTGAGAAATACATGTATAAACAAACAGGGCAAATCACATCCCCTTTGGAGCAAATGGAATTGCGGTATGGGTAGGGGCCAGGCTGGCTACAGTAGAGTCCCACTAAGAAGTCTATAATTGACTCTCAACAACAGATTCTGATACAGTAGAGCTGAGATGTGACCAAGAGAAAAATGTCTTTTTTAGGCTTTTTGTTGATTCAGATGAGTCAATAATATATAATGTCTGGAGAACCATTCACATAGACTCTTTTCACAGAATCGTATTATTTCTCAGCCACAAAAGACACCTGAAATATCAAACAACTCATTCTTGGCATGGAGGAAAAGATTTTTGAATGCTGGTAGTTTCGAATAATTAAATAAGAAAATTCAAAGTCAAATGAATCAAAAGGATTCATATAACCTCTGTATCATAAATTCTGAATATAACTCTAATAGCTGACCTTTCTTCCTAATGTTTTGGAGTTTTGGGGAGGATATGGGAGGGGCAATAGCTCAGAAGGGAGTAACTTTACCTTTTATCCTATGGCATGCTTCCACAGAAATGCAAATAGAATGAAATACTGAAGGGAAAAGGACATACTTGGGTATATAATCTCCTCCAACTATAAATATTGTATCCACCAGATATGTCTTTTCCATTTATAAGTCCATATGAAATAAATACTAAGTAACTACAATCATAAATTTTATTGGCCAAAGAAGTACTGTTCCTTTTTTTTTTTTTTATTTCAGTGTCCCTGAAACTGAAACCTCTGGATCACCTGAATTTGTCAGGTGTTTATAAGCACATTCAAAATGCAGATTCCTATTTTTCTCCATCCACAGATACTGGAACTGATTTTTTTTTAAACAAGTTCATTATGTGTGTCAAACACATAATGTTTTGCTTTATTGCTTGCATAAATACCTAGAAGAGGTTATTTTAAAATAATGAATAGATGCACAAATGCGTGAGTAGAGGACGGGAAAGAAGGAGAGGGGGAAGTATTAGACTGGTACAGAAGTCACTGCAGTTTTTGCCAGGTGCAGAAGTAATTGCAGTTTTGAACCACACTGAAGAGAAGGGAAATCTTCTGGCTTTAGGGATTTTTCCTACTATTCTGACGTTGTCAGATCCAGGTTAATCTATCTAGGAAATGCTATTTTGATCCATTGGCACTCTTAACTTTCTTCTTGGTTATATTTCCAAGAACCTATCATAATCTTTTTCCATGTGTGAAATTTTAGAAAGTGAGCTGAAAAGGAAGAGTAAGGTTCTGCTTTAAGAATTCATGCCACTTTCAGTCCATGTAAAAACTACTGAGATGTTTGTGCATTCAAGTATTGCCATCTATAAATGGGGAGAAAGGAGAAATCAAACTATTCAAATAACTTTTATTAACCTAAAGAGAAAATGTGGTCCTACTAAGAGAAATACAGCTGGAAAATGAGTGGTACTGCACAACAAAAGGTGTGTTAAGGAACTCACACTACAAAATGTGAAACAGCTGACCCAAAGGAAACAGAGACAGCCAGGGTTCAGGATAGGGTTCCTCTCCACTCTCTGTGGAGTAGATACCCAGGTGAATTTCTCATCTTTTGCTTGGTGGATGTTACTCTTTAATCGGCGCTTCATGCCCACAACTAACCTGCAACATACCTTTCTAAAGGTCTCCCTCACTAGCTCTTTTAAAGCTCCCTATCTATGATCCTTTTTTCTCTTCTCTATCTAGGTCATACCATCTGACATAAATGCTCATTTCTTCCAATTTCCACACATTTAAATTGTATCTACTTTTAGCATCCAGCTCAAATAAATGCCATTCATAATTCTCTGCTATTTACTCTTTCCCTTTTGAATGGTCATATAGTTGTATGTATGGGTCTCTAATAGTGTTCATGTTCTACTTACAGCAGAGATTTTATGTATACACCGCCAACTACCTTAAAATGGAATACCTAATAAATATTCGATAAATATTTAATAAGTGAAATTCTTCCTCTCATAATAGTGGCCACCACAGACCCTCACAGACATTCTATTTGTTCAACAAATTATTATCCATGGTACAAGGGACAAATCTGTACAACAGCTCTAATTCAAATCCACTAAGTGAGCAACCAGCTGGGTTACAGTATAGTATAGAAAATTACTCCCTTTCTTCTAAAAACAGATGCTAAAAATTTCTCGCTTTTCATAGAAGAGGAAGAAACTGGTTTCAGGAAGAGAGTGCATAGCTGTGGTGACGACACTTGTATCTTTGTTTTCAGTTTGAGTTCAGTGACATTTTTGGAAATGTTAATTTGGTGCCAATACTTTAGCATTTCTGGCAATACAAAAATCATTCCGAGAACCACTTCCTGGACTCTTCTTTAAACTCTACCCCTTCATACCAACAGGCCAGAAAAGAAGAAGATCTCAAAGATTCCAATTACGTAGATAACAAAAACACATTCAGTTTAAGCATAAAATTAAAGAGCTGGGATAAAAGACGAGGCCACAGGAGGGACAGCTGTAATCTAGGGAAGCATGCTCTAGAAAACAAAAAGCACCTATCCTTGCAAGTCACATTTCCTCCAAAAGCCATGATTTACTGCTCATGTAAGCGAAGTCTTATTTGACTCAGTAATGTAACCCCATATAGCTACCTCTTGTTTCTGTGTTACTTGTTATGGATATCAAACTAAGAATTTTCTCTGAAATCAGAGCTGCTGAAGGAAGGAGAAAATTACCCATGAATTATTACTAAATGCTGTTCAGGATCACTGTTTTCTTATTGATACGGCATTATTAAAAAAATAGAGACTTCATACTATAATGAGATGTTTTCTGTCAATCCACAGTAACTGTATTTAAATTAGATAATTATTTAAAATAAAGTTACAATAAAATAATAATCTTGATGGAAAAAGATGAGAAGTGAGGTAGAAGGGGATGCCCTGGAAGATAAATGAACATATATAAAGTGTAGTACCGTTTTTACTATCATAGTTGATACGATTACTTGCTACATGTCTATGCAGATAAAGATAGAGAGACAGAGAGAGGAGATACAGAGACAGAAGGCAACTACTGTCTAAGTAAATAAAATATATCCTCAAAATGGCAAATTGCTTCCCAGATCAAATTATAGCTCATGGAAAGTAAGCCACATTTGGGTCTGCCATCAGTTGGCTTTCTAATCTACGCTGCATTTATTCTGGGCATAGTGCTCATATTATTACTTACTAACTGTGGTCTTACCACATGACCATTTTAGACACTCAAATGAGAAATGGAAGGAAACCAGAGAAGCACAAACTCCAAGTGTCAACTTTAAATTGTGGCTTATCTTCATTTTTAAAATGTCAAATATTTATAAGACTTTAGGCATATTGCAAAGATAAAAATGACAAAGCTGACAAAAATATATAATGGGGAAAGGACACCGCATTCAATAAATGATGCTGGAAAAATTGGATAGCCATATGCAGAAGTGTGAAACTGGACTCCAATCTCTTATCTCACCATGTAGAAAAATTAACTCAAGATGTGTTAAGGACTTCAAGGTAAGATCTGAAACTATAAAAATCCTGGAAGGCCGAGCATGGTGACTCACACCTGTAACCTCAGTACTTTGGGATGCTGAGGGAGGGGCGGATCACCCAAGGTCAGGAGTTCGAGACCAGCCTGGCCAACATGATAAAACCTAGTCTCTACTAAAAATACAAAAATTAGTTGGGCATCGTGAAGGGCGCCTGTAATCCCAGGTATTCAGGAGACTGAGGCAGGAGAATCGCTTGAAACCGGGAGGCGGAGGTTGCAGTGAGCCAGGATTATGCCATTGCACTCCAGCATGGGCAACAAGAGCAAAACTCTATCTAGGAAAAAAAAAAAAAAAAAAAATCGTAGAAAAAAAAAAAAAAACAAGAAAAACTCTTCTGGACTTTGGCTGATGGAAGGAATTTATGACTAAGACCTCAAAAGCAAATGCAACAAATACAAAAAAAGACAAATAGAACTTAACTAAACTAAAAAGCTTCCGAATAGGAAAAGAAACCAACAAGTAAAGAAACTACCTACAGAAAGGGAGGACATATTTGCAAACAATCCATCCAACAAAGGGGTAATATCCACAACCTACATGGAATTCAATCAACTCCAGGAGAAAAAAAACAAATAACCCTATTAAAAAGTAGACAAAGGACATGAATAGACATTTCTCTAAAGAAGACACACAAGCAGCTAACCAACATGAAAAATGCTCAATCTCAATAATCATCAGAGAAATGCAAATTAAAACCACAATGAGATACCATTTCACATTAGTCAGAATGGCTGGTCAGAAAATCACAGATGTTGGCAAGGCTGCAGAGAAAAGGGAATGATTATACACTGTTGGTGGAAATATAAATTATTTCTATGAAAAACAGTATGGAGATTTTGCAAAGAACTAAGAATAGAACTATCGTTTTATCTAACAACCCCAGTACTGGCTGGGATTACCCAAAGTGAAAGAAATCATTAGATTAAAAAGTTACCTGCACTAATATGTTTATCACAGCAGCATTCACAATAGCAAACTCATAGAATCAACCTCAGTGTCCATCAATGGATAACTGGATTTTTAAAATGTGATATACATACATCATGGAATACTTACCACTTAGCCATATAGAAGAATGAAATCGTGTCTCTTGCAGCAACATGGATAGAAATGGGGGCCATTATTCTAAGAAAAGTGATTCAGAAACAGCCAAAAACTGTATTTCTCTATGTTGTGACTGATAAGTGGGAGCTAAAAAATGGGTACACATGAA